ACCAGGCATGAGCAGGCTCTTGGACTGTGCTAGAAAGCACTTTGGGAGCAGCAGAGTTTGACTGTGAGGATAAAGCCAAGTCCCAGCTGGTCTTCCCACACCTGGCTAAGTCGTGCTGGCCACTGCCAGTCCTGAGCAAAGATCCAGGAAGAGCCATCCTCAGACCTGGGTGCCTCCATGCAGTAGTTCTGTGCCAGAAGTCTGTGTGTGCAGGCTCAGGTTCCCAGGAGCAGATGCCATCCCTGTGGATGAGTGATGGGGTCTCACCTCCTGTCTCTCCATCCTCAGCACTGGGGAAGGCAGCACACGCTGGCTTGGCTGGAGGCACTGGCTACAACTGTCTCTCCAGGGCAGCCCAGAGCCCGCAGTGGTGGCTGCTCTGTTGAACCCTTCCCTCTCCCACGCCCCCAGAGCTCGATCCCAAGCCAGGAAGAGCTCTCCGATGCTGACACCCGCCGGAGAGCCGCGGGATTGCCGGGGCCGTGCAGTGCTGCTGCTGCAGCTGTGGAGCGAGTTACTCGGAACAGAGGCTGTCCCTGGTGCTGGGCAGATCCTCTTCATGAAGAACTCTCAAAACCCAGCAGAACGTGAGATCCTGCCCTCTCCTACCCAGCCGAGGCACTCGCAGGGCAGGGCTGATGTCCGGCCTGGGGAGATTTTATTTTTTTTTTTTTACTGCCAAGTCACTTCAGGGCTGAGGCCCCACACTTCCCTCAGCCCTCCCCAGAGCCTCACTGTGCTGCTGCTCCAGCCCTCACTGATATTCCTCAGCTGGAAAGGCTCTCAGCTACTCACTCCCAGCCCCATAGGACCCCATCTCAGCCCCCTTTACCAACCTTGGTCCCAGAACCCAGTGCCCCCCATTTGACAGACACTGCCCAGCACAGTCCTGCTCTGCTGGGTAAACACTGTCAGCACTACAGAGGCAGAAAATGAGGCAGTGTTTGCCCTTTTGCAGAAAAGCCCTTGTGGGACAGGATTCAGGAACAGGATCCATCCCTTTACCACAGTGGAATGTGTCAAAAATGTGCAAACAGCTTTGTTTGCTGCCCTGGGACTGCTGCTTTGCCCCCTGGAAATCACCACCTCCCCTCTGTGTCCCAAAGACTTACCCTGGTCAGCTGTGCCTCCAGTCTCTCTCCTCTGCTCCTTCAGTCTGTCTCCTGTTCCACTGGGCCTTCACAGCACTTTTTCCCCATCCTGACACACCTACAAGTTCAGGAGAAAAGCTGCTTCTCCCCACTCCTCATTTCTGGCTAAACCAAGCTCTGCTGGGCTCCCCTCAGACAGACCTGTGTCCCCCTTCCAAAGCAAACACACTGCCCCAGGACACAACACTTTTCAGAAAAACCCGCTTCAAAAGGGAGCACGGAATTCCTTTTTTTACTTGGAATCTCTTAGCAGCAAATATTTTTTGTGTTACATGCAAATTCCCTCATGTGATGTTGGCCTGAACCTTCAGAGCAGCAGCAAGAACTGCTGCCCTCCCTGCTCAGAGCTGGGGGCTGCAGAGGCACGAGGTGCCAGAGGACCATGGGACAGGGAAAGACTAAAATACAGGAATGGCCAACACAGGTTTTGCTACATTTTTTACTAGAGCAAAAACTAGCACCACCTTCCTGTAGCTGGAGCACAGTAACAGGTAAGAAAGGTAAGGAAAACAGCCAAAAAAAGCCAGGTTGTAAATGAGTTGTTTCCAAGGCAACACAAATCCTGCAACAGCTGCTCTGTTCCACCCCATCAAAGGCATCAGCACCATGGAAGCAGAATGCTGATTTTCAGATTAAAGGTAATAAAATAAGCACTTTTCTTGCAGTGCTAATAGGTGCCAACAGCTCAGCACAGGGTGAGCACACAGCAGTGCTCGGAGATGCAAGACTCCTGTTTCTCAATACTGGATCTCTCCAGCAGCTGTTGTTTCAGGGAGAGCTGTATTTCACCAGGGTCTGAGCACACACCAGCTGGCTGGTGAAGGTCCTGCCCCTGTTTCATCACTCTGAACTGACACACCAACAGCAACATGACAATTTTCCTGTTGCTCTGACCCAATACTTACAATGCAACACGTATAAAATTGCTATGAACACTTCTGGTGAAGTAAACTCATTAATGCACACAGTGCCCTCACTGAATCCTTGGCTGATTAAGGACCAGGAGCAGCTGGACAAGACTGGCTGAGAGAAAGGATGTTGCTCAGCCCCAGACACAAAGGCCAAGAGGGGTTTTACTGCCTTCTGTGCCTCTCTAACGAGGAGGGATCTAAAGAGGTTGAGGGATCTCCACCCTCAGAGACCCTGAACATCCTCCTTTAACAAGGGGCTTGGACTAGAAACCTCCAGAGAGCTCTTTCACCCTAAATTAGTCTTTGATTGCAAGTTCAAAACCATAAAAAAGCAGCTACTTCACTGTACAGAGGAAACAAGCCCTAACAAAGTCCAACATGATCATCTCACTGATGATCCACCACTACCTGAGTGCAAACACCTACATTTCTCATTTATTACTTTTTTTTCTTTTTACTAATCTTAATATGCATCAGTAGCACTAAAAAGCCCCTCAATATTTTCCAGTGAATTCTAAGGCAGCTTTCTAGGTGCTCTACTTCTCTCCAATGTGCTCCACAACTATTAGTTTTGCCTTCACACCCATCCTCCCCCTCCCCAACAAGGAGCTGCAAACCCCTCATGCCCAAGTGGGATCCCCGAGTGTGGGGGCTGATGCTGTAACCCCAAAATACAGAACTTTCAGCCCTGACACCAGGGCTCTGGAAGATGGCAAAGGACAGATAAAAGCAGCGAGAGCTGCTGACCCTCCTGTGGGACCATTTTGGCTTTGGAATTTGGGACTCACCTCCTCAGGTGGTATCAATTGCCCCTCTGCTCAGCTGCCATGGGATGCACCTCCACCAGCTCCACAATGCCTGGGAAGGGCAGGGGACATCCCTGAAACCTCCAGCTCCAGCTGCACCTTGTTATGCCAAAATCACACAGACAAAGAATTTCTGGCTGCCTTCTGAGCAGGGAACAAAGCTGGGCTCTGGGTACTGCTGGAGCACTGAAAACAGCCTCAAAGTCAGCAAAACAAGTACCAGGAAAAATACCCACACCACCTCGAAAGCCATCAGCTCGATCAAAGGCAAAGTTACACAGGACAAAGACACACGACAGAGAAAAACCCACACCCAAGTTTATTTTAAATACAGACTGTGGAAATGAGGGAATGAAGGTAAAGAGTCTCTTAGCACCAGCAGGGCAACCCAAATCCCACACGTCAGGTCTGTCCCACAGGTCACAGCCCCATGTGTCAGGTCTGTCCCTTGCTGCCAGGCTCTGGGGGGGCTTCCTTGCTGTCCCCCTCTGCCAGCTGACCCTGGGACTCGGGCTCTGCCGAGCTTTCCAGCAGCAATTCCAGAGCTTCCTCACCAGCCACACGTCTCACCTTCTCCCCTTTGGCTGCCAGGATCTCCTCGATGTTCCTGGACAGCGATTTGAGAACCAACAGTGACACCACAGCAAAGGCCCAGCACAGCCAAGCACAAGTTCCCTCCTCCACTCTGCCCTCAGGATTGACACCACACAGTGAATCACAAGGGCATCACCATGGGACACCTCCATAGTTTGGGAAGCAGAGAAAACCGCCCAAACCTTCTGGGACTATTTTTATCCACTCTGATCAATAATTTAGCAATTACAGCGAAACAGAAGCTTTTAAAGGTATCTCGGGAAGTCAGAAATCACTGGAATTCCACAGCAGATGACTCTACACACTTGAGACACTTATCCAGGGAAAGCCAGCAGTGATGTAGTAAAGCCTAAGGGGAACAGAACCCCACAGGCAGCAATTCACCTACTGCCACCAACAAGGATCCCTGTGCACCCCACAGCTTCTGCTGCAGCTTCACACCATTTATTTGGATCCTAGACAGTGCCAGTCAAATTAGGTGATTTAAAACCGAGTCTGTGTGCTTTAAGGAACTGGATGCAACAGAATTACACCCTGCAAAAACTCTTTTTTTGTGTCTTTTTGCCTGAGCCACATTTTAAAAGCATCACAGAAATAACGTAGGAGCTCAAGGAGGGTCCGGCTGCACCCCTGAGCAGGGGCTGAGCAGGATCCCTCGGCACACCCACCTCTTTCCCTGCAGGTCGGAGAACCAGCCCAGGTTGTCGGCGATGACGTGGTGGTTCCCGCAGCCGGGGCAGGTCACGATCACCACCCCGCGGTGGTAGGCGGCCTTCGAGATGGATTTGGACGAGCGCGTCTGGCACACCTGGGAAACGAAGCGGATTTTGTGAGCGCGGGACCTGCAGCTCCTGGGCCTTTAGGACAAAGCCACTTTATGCGATTAAAACTTTCTCTCCCCCTCCGCCACCTCGAACTACCCCGAGCGGCTCGATGCCGTGAGCTCAGCCCAACACAAGCGGGGTTTCACTGCTCTCTGTGCCTCCCTGAGGAAGGGGATCCTCAGCGATACTCACAAGACCCCGAACATCCTCCTCGCACAACGGGGTGCGACTGGAAACCTCCAAAGGGCTCTTCCAGCCTGAGTTAGTCTTTGACTACAGGTTTAGAACCACAAGCAAGCAGCTACACTGGGACCTCCCCCCGGCTCTGTCCCTCACAGCCCCCCCTCGCCCACCTTGCAGGTGTACACCAGGCGATAGTGCGTCGCCGGTGGCGGCCCCGGGGCGGTGCAGGCCGGGCGAGACGGGACCCGGCGCGGCCCCGGGGCGGTGCAGAGCGGGCGGGCCGGACCCCAGGGCGGCCCCGGGGCGGTGCAGAGCGAGCGGGGCGGCGGCGGCGCGGCCCCGGGGCCGGGCGGGGGTCGGCGGGGCCGCCATGGCGGCGCCTCCCGGGGCAGCGCCCTCAGCGCGGCCCCCGCCACGCGCCGCATCGCACCGCGCGTGCGCGCCGGGGGGCGGGGCCTGAAGCGCCGGCGGCCATGTTGGATTCGGGCAGCGCCAGGGACCCGCCTTCAATTAACTCTTTAATTAACCCTTTCATTAACCGGCAGCTCAGTCCCGGGCACTGTCGCACACGCAATATTTAATCGTGTTTATTAACCTATAAGAGAGATGGATGAGGGCGCTTCAGATGCAAACAATAGTGTCCGGTAACACAGAATCAACGAGGTTGGAAAAGACCCCTGAGATCCCGGAGTCCAACCTTTGGCACGCATTAGCCTTTCGCATGTTAACTTTTCGTGAATGTTGGGTTGGATGGTCTTAAAATCTAAATAGTCCATAGAGAGTGAAAGTCAGAGGCACAGCCACCCCAGCACAGGCTGGGTTTTCCTCCCAGGTTGGTTCCTGCACTCAGGAAACCTCAATGCCAGTGTTGTCCCTCCTTCAGGAGCTGATGGTGTCCCCATTGTCCCTCATTCCAGAACCCTCAGTGTCCCTGTTGTCCCTCTCTCAGGAGCTGATGGTGTCCCTGTTTTCATCTCTCAGGAGACTTCGGTGTCCCTGTTGTCCCTCGTTCCAGAGCCCTCAGTGTCCCCGTTGTCCCTCCCTCAGGAGCCCTCAGTGTCCCTGTTTTCCTCTCTCAGGAGCGGATGGTGTCCCTGTTTTCCTCTCTCAGGAGCGGATGGTGTCCCTGTTTTCCTCTCTCAGGAACGGATGGTGTCCCTGTTGTCCCTCCCTCAGGAGCCCTCGGTGTCGGTGTTGTCACTGCCTGTGGTGTTCTCCCAGTCGGCCTCGTGGTGCCGGTCCTTTGGCACCCTCCTCATGGCTCTTTTTCTGAAAAACAAGACCTGACGTATCATTTTTAGAAGGTGTTTTCTGCAGACAAGCAGCATTTCAACGCTTTGGGGAGGTTTAGTATGTATTAGTCCATTTTGTGTTTAATTTTATGCCCTCCATTAATCAAGTTTGGGGGCAGGGGATGGGCAGGAAAGAGGAAACACAAGATAATAAGTTAGGCCACACAGGTATGTCTAGGTTAGTCCTGCTTACTGCAGCCCAGACCTTCGGTAGCGCTCAAAGCAGTCCTTCATCCTCTTCCTCTCCTTTTCTGCCAGTTCCTCATTGGCCAAGCCACACTCCTTGAATTAAAAAATAAATAAAAAAAATTTAAATGGATTCCTCCAAACATCAGATCAGTGTTAGCACCACGTAGCTGCCTGCAGAATGAAGTACAGTAGGTTCATTTCTGGGCTGTCCCTATTAGTGTGTGTGCAGGATGGGAATACCTCTGCTTCACAGAGTTTTAGCATATTTATTCCCTCACATTTGTAAATTTGGGATTCTGTTTCCTGTACAAACAGTAATGCTGCAATCAATTAAACTGGAAAACGTCCACACCCAGAAATGAAGGATAGAAAGTAATTAGGAGAAGTTTCTATGCACAAATGGAGAAATAACCACAAATGTTCTGCTGTTCAGAGCTCACTCTTTTTGGAGGGTGAATTCTGCACTAAGTGCTCAGATTTTGGAAAAGCTGACATGCTTCTCAAACCTGGTAAATCCATCATTAATGAGAACATTAAAGATCACAAACCCCAGAAGAGCCCACGAAGATTCTCTTACACTGAGTGACTTTGGGGGCAGATTGTCTTCTCCAGGGCTCAGCTGCTGGTTTGGTCCTTCAGGGCAATCTTCTGAGAGATGGAAAAATCACACCTTTAGTCAGAGTTGCCATTGTGAAGTAACTTCTCCCTCCACCAGTTCTTCAAACAGAACAGTTGTGATGTAACTGCACAGACTCCTCAGCAGAACTGAAACCAGGCCCAAAATGCCAGGACTTGGTCCTGTGATCAGTGCAGAGTCACTTCTCATTTTACTTGAGCCCTGAGTCTTGCTCAGATGGTGGAGTTCCCCAGTTTCTGCTTATGCAGGAGCAAAACAAACCTTTACTAAGCAGCACCTCCGCTCAGCATCATTAAAAAAATAATACTCATGTTAGAGGTCACCATGAGAAACATGTTAATTATTATTTTAACAGTAGTTTACCCCTGTTCCCCAAGTTGTGCATATCAAGGCACTTCACATCAGACCATATTTTGGTGAAACTCCTTATGTAGTGACCAGGTGTCAGGATATATATTTTTGAACTGAGCGAGGCAGAATAATAAAAAAATCTTTCTGGATCAGTGTTGTTCAGCTTTTATGAAAAATCTCCCCTCTCAATGAATGAACAGATCATTTAGATCTTCCAGGAGATCAAACCAGAAAATTTCTTCTACTGTGCCAGTTTTCTCCCTTTCTCAACCTGTTTCAAAAGAGATTTTCAAGTTCTAAGAGGAGCCTATTAATTCCTTTCCACACTGCTGAATCATTTCCACTGGGGATGCCACAGAAACAGAACCAGTGACAGCACTCACCACCTGGTTCTGCTTTTGGGAAAACAACCTGCTACATAAAAGGGAAGAGGAGAGGGAAGAATCCCTGGAGAAAGCCACATGGTCCAGCTGAAGTGGAAGGATGTTTGTTCTGTTCTGTGACCAGCTAAAAATAAACCCCAGGAATGTCTTTTCATTTCCCTTTGAAACACTGGACCATTCTCTCCAGAATTCTGCCTAGTGTTCTCCCAGGTAAAGCCTTACTTTTAGTGGGCTGTGCATCTTCGTCCAGGTGACTGTGAAGGGTGAGCTGTGGGACAGAAACAGAGGAAGAACGTGAGAACTGCCCCTCAGTCTGCAGGAAGAGATCCAGGAATATAAGAAACTGGACATGCTTAGAACCAGCCTTTCCCTTGTGCACCCTGCTGTCAGCAAAGAGCAGACCGAGGCAGGAGTTACAGATTTACTCATGGACTTGTCCTCCATGAATAGGATAATGAGCTCCTTTGGCCTCCAGACAATGTGACAGTGACAATCACTCCCACTCTGATGTTATGAACTAAGTGAAACTCTTTACTACAGATGTCCCCAGGGTTAGACTTATTTTTGCCTGTTCTCACACAAGAGAGACAATTAGAAGCAATTCCAAATAATTCAATGCCCCTGATTTGTTTAAACTCAGCAAATCTTGCTGACTAATGCCATAACTGTGTCCTACACTGAGAATCCTCAGGACACAGGGAGATTCTGTCACTGTTTGGCTGCCTCTGTACTTTTTCATGTCATGAAAGGAGCCTGAGCCATGGATTGGCAACTGCTGATACCTGGGGAACTGAGTGCAAGTGAGGAATATAAAACCATCCCAAAAGAAAGTGAAAGGTAAACAAGGCGCCCTACTCACTTCCTGGGAATCTCTGGAGGAGGTATCATCCAGGTCAGAGGTCTGAAACAAAACCAGTAGAAATTAATCATTCCTCACAAGCAAGGAAGTGGCAGCAAGGGAACATAGAGAAGACTGAGAGCTCCCAAAAGCAGAGAAGTGTGGAATTCCTGCCTCCTACACTCCTGTCTGGTCACTTGGAGAAAGCACACAAGATGCCATATTAATTAAAAGCCCCTGTATATCTAATTTAATTCCAGAAAGTTTAGCTTCCCATTTCATCCAAATGGCTCAGACAGAGTCTCTAAACAGAGTTCACTCTTTGATGGTTGAGGATCTCCCCTCATCACCTTTGGACGTGTTCTAAACACAACCACAGCATCAGCCCACCTTATCCATGCCTGGAACTAAGGTCAGGTCATAGGAACCATCATGTCTTTCATTGTCTAAACTCAGCATTTGGCTTTAATTAATTTTAATGGTTCCCCAGGCAGGTGGTCCCTGGAACTGTCCAGGAACCACCTGGACAGCAAAGGCCTCGGAACAGCCACACTCTGGCCCCACACTCAGCTTCCCAATCCCATCCCAGGGATCACAGTCCTACCGGGGTGGGCAGCTCCAGTTGCAACCTTTTCAGCTTGGCCTCAGTGGCCAGCAGCTGGCTCTCCTTCTGGAAGAGCTGCAGCTGCATCTCGTCACATCTCTCCCCCAGCTCCCGGATCTGCTTGCGGTGAGCGTCTCTCTCCACCAGGTTCTTGGAGTACTGCATGTGGAACTGCTCCCGGGTCAGGAGAGCCTGGGGAGAGGGACAACACGTGCCATGTCACACAGCAGCACAGTCAGGGTTATGTATCTGTCCGCTTCAGGCAGCAGAGCAGGGATGAGCAGCATTCCATGAGGAATGTTCTATCACCTGGTCTCTTTCTGCAGCCACTTCCTCCATCTGCTGCAGAACAGCTTCAATCCGTTTCTTATACATCTGGGAGTCCTTCCTCAGGGATGTGCACTGCAGCTCAAGCATCTCTTTTTCCTCTGCATACTGCTGAGACAAGGTCAAAAAGCACCTGAGCCGGACTGGCACCACTCCTGCTCTGTGTCACAGATTGCTCTGGCCAGACCTCCACAGCCTGAGCTATCACCTGCACACAGGATGCTAAAATACAGATACTACAGTAGGATTGCTCCTGAGCAGCTGCTCTGCTCCACAGGCAAGAGGTGCTTCACCTGCCTGTCTCCCAGCAGGACCCTGAGGAGGAGTTTGCCCTGCAGCACCTACTTTGTCCTGGAGCGCCCTGGCTCGGCGCAGCTCCTTGCGCAGGCTGTAAATGGTGTCCACCAGCTCCCGCCGTTCCTCCAGTATCTGCCTGCAGTCACTCTCCAGAGTCTCCTTGGAGAGGCTCTTCTCCAAATTCTGTTCCCTGGCAACCTGCTGGACAAAGGAAAAAGTGAGATACAGCCAGCACCTAACTCCATATCAACTCTTCCAGCGCCAGTGCTCTATTTGACTCGGGAGAACAAGGTCACAGGTGACCCACAGAATACGCAGCCTCATCACTTCCCTGGCTGCTACGAGTAACCACTTCTCACAAATCCATATTCAACCAGCCCACCAACCTGGAGAGTGTTCTCCAGCTCCTGGTTCTTGGCCAAGAGCAGCTCCTTCTCCTGCTGGATCTCCCACACCACCTCGTGGCTGGGGCGCTGCTCTATGGCGTGTTTGAGCTTCATGGTGTGCTTTCTCTCCAGCTTGCAGTCATCCTCAGCCTTCATGAGGCTGTGCTTCAAGTGGTCAATCTGTGAGAAGGTTCAGAGCTCATCAGGAACACGGGGAAAACTCTGGCCTGCAAAAGCAGTTCTCACTCCGTTCCCCAGACAAACACAGGGCAAGTTTTTCCCCACTCTGTTTTCCTCAGGAGGTTTGGTGCTCTGGGGACCAGAGTCCTGCCTGTGTGCTACAGATCCATGTTGTTCCTGTGCTTTCTTTGTGAGAGCAGAGGGAAAGGCTCTTAATTCTTCACAGCACAACTTGTAGAACATGGGCCTACAGGGCTGAGCCAGAGACCACCAAGTCATGCTGTTTGCTCAGTGCTTCATGCTGGGCAAAGACAAGTCAGGTGCTCAGCCCAGCCTTCTAGGGGTCAGGTAAGAAGGGGGAAGCTGGAGACGTGACTGACCTCTAGGATCAGGTCCCTGTTCTTCATGAGGGCCGTGCTCTTCTCTTCACTCTGCTTGGCGTAGCTCATGGCCAGGTTGTAGTTCTCATCCTTGCACTTCTTCAGCTCCCTGCTCAGGCTGTCCCTCTCCTCCTTCATCCTCTGGGCCCGCTCCTGGTGCTTTCGGAGCAGGCTGTCCCTCACCCACATCTCCCTGATGGTGTCCTCCTTGCTGTGCAGCCACACCGTGAGCTCCTGGGCCCTGCGCCGCTCCTCCTGCACCGCGCTCTGCAGCTTCATGATCTCGTTCATCAGCACCTGGCTCAGGCCTGATTCCCCAGCAGTGTCTGTTTGGGAGGCAGGAGTCAGCCCCTGCTGTCCTGGCTGCTCCCAGGCACACACACAGCTCAGCTTCCCCCCACTTCCCACTGCAGCTCGGGATCAGCCCATGCCAACCCTGAACTTGTGGGATCAAGTTATCCCTGCTGCTTCCCCCTGCTCTGTGCCCTCCTGCACCACAGTGCCACTGACAGAACAGGCAGAAAGAATTGATCCTTCTGCTTCCTTCTCCACCCTCCCCCCAGTCCAGCCTGTGACCTCAGGGCTGTTCTTCCCAGAACGCTCCCAAAGCACACAGGGAGCAAGGCAGGGAGTGCTCCCGACTCTGCACAGCAACACCAAACGAAGAGCTGTTTTTGAGGACACAAACAGTACCTATAATCATAGAGAAAACCCTGCTGGGCTCCTTGCCAGTTATTTTCCTATACAGCTGTGGATAATAAAGCTCAAGACTCTCCATAAAGGCCTCAAAGCCCTTGTGTCCTGTTCGCTGAAGAATGTCCAGAAGAACACCTGCAAGAATGGCAACAGGACGTTCTGTTCAGTTATTCATCTCTTCACCTATTTCTAACATCACAAAAAATGGCTCCACATTCTCCACATATAGAAGTCCCTGGGATTAAATCACAGAATCACAGAATCAGGTTGAAAAAGAGCTCTGAGATTATTAAGTCCAATTTATGACCAAACACCACCTCGTCAACTAGACCATGGCACTGAGTCTTTCCTTAAACACCTCCAGGGATGGTGACACCACCACCTCCCTGGGCAGCCCTTCCAGTGCCTAATTCCCCAGAAAATCCTAAACCAATTGCCCAGTGACTAAACAAAAGCATTTTAACTGTTCCAATCTGCGCCCAGCAGAGCACAGGAGCATCCAGGGAGCCAAAGGCTGCCCTCAGCCACCCACCTGCCTTCCGTTTGCGCATGACCAGGCTGGGGTCGTTGAGGACCTGCTCCTCATCGTCAGGGCTGAGCACTTTGCACTGCCGGAGGTAGGGGGTTATCCGGGAAGGGTCGATCACGGAGATCAGCTTCACTCGGAAGTTCTCCAGGTTATTCCAGCAGATCTCATCGTTATCTTCCTCCAACATGTCAGCGCTGAGAACTGTCAGTGAGCAGCGTTGTCCTGCCTGGAAAACAACCCCCAGAAAACAAGCAAGCAGACTCAGCCTCCTGGGGTGTGGTGGAAAAGCCGGGGATGTTCACAGACTGAGAATGGAAAAGTGTCCTTTAGACAGAGGAGCACATCTCCCATGTGCTGGCAAATCACCTGTGGAACAGTCACATCTCACACAAAGGGAAGTCCCAGAGGGGGGGCAGCAGCAGCTGAGGGTGGTGCCAGTGCTGCTGCCACAGCTGGGGAGAAATTCTGAGAAAACAGAAGTCACCAAAGCTCGATGAGCCTCCTTCCAAGCAGCTGAGCAGCTCCCAGAGCTCACTGCAACAGGAAAGTAAAACTATTTAGCAACAGACTTAGTGGAGACAGGCAAGTCATTGAGAGCCCTGTGAACAAAGGAAAATCCAGCCAACTCTAGATTCCCAACAGCTATGCAAAGAAAGTGCTGTCAAGTCTCACTAACAAAGTCACCCTGCGTTCTCCAGGTGCTCAGCTATGCTTAGAATTGAATCTTTAATCCCCATAAACACCACAAAAAGAGTGGGAGACAATGCAGGATGATGGCAAAAAGTGAAAACAGCTTTAAAACTCTCCTAATAAGCTGTTGCCTCTGCTTTACAAACAGTTCACACCTCCTTCTCCATTCCCCAGCATTTGAGATCCCTGAATTCTGTCAGACACTAAGTCTGACACCCAAAAAAGGCTCTATGAAAACCCCCAGTGGTAACAGCTTTTACCGAGTTCACCTGTCATCATACAAAAGGTGTTCTTCTGCATGTTGTGCCTTATCCATACACAGGGCTGTCCATGATATCCACTGTACACACAGAGGTGAAGATCAGCACCAGGAAGCCCTGAGGTCACCTGCCTCCCACATCCCAGCTCACAGATTCCCCCTCTGCAGCTTCAGCAATTTATGGTCACAAACACCAGATTACAAGAGACACACTTCCCTGTTGCTAAACTCATTATTGCCTCAGAGCTGTAAATTTTTTTTTCCCTGTTAACATAACCATTCTGTATTACACGGACCAACCTGAGCCTCTGCAGTCACAAAAACCTCCTTGTGTCCTGGCTCTGAGAAAACATGTCTTGGGTGCAGCCTCCCTTTATATTCTGGCCAGAGCAAAGATCATTCCAGGAGCAAAACTAGTTTGAGGAAAGGGGAAACTACTCAGCTGTACTCTAAGACGGGAAATGGAAGGGGAAAAAAAAGAGATAAATAAAAAAAGGGGAAGCCAGAATGGGTGTTGGGGAGGAGAAAGATGGTAGTGGCGTCGTGAGTCAGCAGCAATACACACACAGTGATTTTGGACTCATTCTGGCTTGGTTTTCCATTTGCCCCACTGAAATACCTGCTGGGGTCCAGAAAGTTTCTTTGTGTAGTGGTCAGAAAGACTAAAAAAAGACTTCAGAAAGAACAAAAGTCACAGGCATGGGTCTGTACAGTTGATTTCAGGGGATTAAAATCAGCCACAAAATTAGAGGCTCTTCAAAGGCCTTCCTTCCAGCTGTTAACATCTCTGTCCAGGAAAGCAGGTGGCAGCAAGGACTCGCTCTTGGTTTAGAGTTCTGCTGAAAAGGATGATTTCCATAATGATGCCTCTAATTTTGGATGTCCTTAAGCTTCAAGCATAATTATGACAACTCGGTACTTTGAGGGGAAAGGGAGTCAAGCCTCGGCAAAGCAAGGAACATAACCCACGATTCCCAAATTACAGCCTTTGGCTCTAACAGCAATTAAAGGAGCAGCACAGAAAGCAGCACAGAAGCAGTTGAGCATCAACACAAGACCTGTGCCTGCCTCCCCCTCTTCCCACAGTCCTGGAGATGTAGCTGAGACAAGGACTCTGTTCAAGAGTCTGTTAAAAAAGCCTGGAGAACACACAGGCTCTGATGCCATGGCAGCATGACACATGTTCTCATTAGCTTCCCACTCCACTCTTTGTTCTGCTTTCTAAGTTTGTGGAGAGTTTTTCCATGTTATCATTAGGAGTGGGGCAGAGATGCTCAGAGATTCTTGCAGTCTGTGACTCTTGGTAGGCATTAAATCAGCTTTACATTAAAAGAAGGTACAGTACCTGTGTCAGCTGTGCCCTTGCTGAAGGCAATCAGTGGCTGCTAATTGACCAATCTAACCCTGGGAGGTGTTGTTCTATAGTGACAGATCAGTTTAATCCTGAAAAAGGACAAAGACAGCTGCTTCTTGAACAGTTTTTCCACAAACAGTTTACAAGGGCACCTCCTGAGCAGCATTTACAGAGGACAAGAGTCATTTAGAGCACAGATCACCATAACAGCCTGTGAACAGCACCCAGAACTGCTTCTGACCCAGACAAATTTATTGGAAAAATATTATCTACACTGGCTTATGGAAAATAGAGCACACTGCAAGAGAAAAGCCATTCCACAATCATTCCAATTGCTCAAGAATGTCTTGACACCAAATGACAGCAGCATTGGCACCCACTGTCCCCCTGACCCCAGCTCTGCCTGAAGAGCCCTTATAGAAGAGTTGGAACTCACAGAACTCATCACCACACTCAGGGGAAGCTCAGTCAGTGCAGTGCAACGAAACTTTCTGCAGCATTTTCCATCTAGATTTTATCAGCTTTGCCTCAGCTAACCTTGCACCTCTCTGGGAGACAGAAATTGCTGGTTTATAAATGAAGAAACAAGTTGTTGTTGAGTGATTTGCTGATGTCTCTACAGGGCAGGCTGTGGAAGAATCAAGAAAGAATCCAAGCTGAATTCAATCCTTTTTAGCCACATGAATATTCATTTTCCACATTCTCCCTGGTTTTCATGCAGCTTGCAAACTTCATTTTTCTCATTAGCAATCACACTCATACACACGTTATTAAAAGCACTATTTACCAGGGAAAAAAACCACACAGAATACAGCAGTAATTTTTAAGTGAGAAAAATAAAACATCTGTATTTCAACAAATACTTAAAACTCATTTTGATACAAAATTAATCTGCTGCTTATTCAGCAGCATTCAGTCAGTTAGCAAGCAAAGCCACTGTCACAGCACTAATAACCACCCAATTAACAACATATTCTGAACATGGATAAACATTTACATAAATAGGGGCTGAACAAAAAAGAAATAAATAACCACCATTGCTGGTTCCCCCAGATTTCCAGCACCTTCTCCCCCAGCACCTATGGCAGGTGTGAGTTTGAAAGAGCAAAATTGGTCCATGCCTGAATGATTTCCCTCCAGCCATTTTCTTCCGTTTCTGCACCTTTCCCAGAGATGCAGATTTTGTTGGGTGATGGGAAAACCAGTCCAGCCATTTTCCTCTTCCCCAGGTCCATCCAGTCGGTGTGTTGGAAGTGGTAAAAGTGAACAGTGCAAAGAGTACCTCCTACTGCCATGCAGGGAGGGAGAGCTCATTCCAGTGACCTCTGTAACAAAGCACAAACAGCTCCTATCAGTCACAGCATTTTTATAGGGAAGTTGCTCTTTTGGAGTTTCTAAAACAAATTTTAAAGAAAAAAACTCGAGCAGTGTCATCTGACAACCATGAGAATCAAACACTGCTCATATTCATTCCATCTCTTGCACCAAAAGCCACAACAGATACTAAGGACATCACACACTTGTACCCTACAGAAGCTGGCCTGTTATAAGTGTAGAGAAATGAAGCCATAAAGGGGAAATAAACCCCTCAAAACCCCACAGGGTTGTTCAAAGAAGAGTTAAACTCCAGTGAAGCACTCACTGGCAGCCAAGCTTGTAGAGAGCTACCAACTAGGTACCACACTAGTAGGCAGGGCATGGACTAAGAGGCTGCCAAATGTTTGAACTTCGTGACTGTTGTATCTATAATTTTATCATACAGACGTGAACTTTCACTCCCCACAACAGATTATCAGCCTTAGGGTGTGATTAGTGGTGACTGTAGAACTCTGTGTCCTCGGGGAACAAGAGCAGAGATAATTTCAGCCCTTTCCTGGGGTCGTGATTCATTGTCTGAGCTGAACCACAGACAAATGTGGTTCAGGTTCTCAGGCACAAAATACAAGTCTCTGAGTAGCTACTAACACATGTCCTTCTCACATCCTCCTCCTCTTCCTGCAGCGGGCACTTCTCCTGACTGGAGCAGCACTGGCATCAGCCACAGCAGTGCAGGAATCCAAGGCAGAGTGGGCAGTGCCATCTTCAGCCCCCAGGCCCTGCAACATAAGCAGATGATCAGCATCATGAGAATGAGCAAAACTGCAAATAACCCCTTCAGCCATCTTTTTATTTTATGGAGCTCAGCAAGATTTCCAAAATAATCTTCCATTTACCTTCGAAAATAAGCATGGGACAACATTCTGTTACCAGTGTCAGACAAAGCACAAAATATCCCTGTGTTTTCAGAGCAAAACCTTCAGCCAACACTGACATTTCCTCCTGTTCCTGCTCCCAAAGCAGAGCAATTCCTGCTGTTGTTTCTGTCTGGGCACAACTGTCCATTACAGAGGTTGTGGAACAACCTTTTGTTAGAGGTTGGGTGCCTGCCATGAGTGATGCTTTGGCTTCACTGCTGGAGCCAGACAGTGCCCCAGACAGCACAGGTCACACCAGCTTCTGATTGCTCGTGAAACACAACCCCTACCACAAACTTTCCCCTGGAAACCACCAGGAAAACAACCTGGTTGTAGTGGGAATCACGGGAGTGGGAGCGAGCCTGGAAGGTGACACAGAAGAGAGGTTGGCAGTGAAAACCTGCTGGTGACTTTTGGAGCAACTGCTCACAGTTCAGACAACACTGAACTTGGCCCAGACCCAAAAGTCAGAGCCAGAACAGAAAGAAAACTGCTGGGGAAGCTCTGATTTTTAGGCAGCTTGGCCATCTTTCTATAGAAACAGCCATTTGCCTTGTTGATTCATCTTCATCAGTGTTTTGTTTGTTTACTTGGGAGCCACAATGATTTGAAATGCAAGTTTGAGCTGCACAACTTCCTCGTGTGTTTTGTAAGAAAGAATGCTGGGCAGTAATGGATTTAACTTAGAGATTGACTTGGGGTGGACCTTGTGGCTTCCATCAATCCATGCAGTTCAATAATCTCTAGCCACATAAACCAATTTGGGATGAAGATGCAAATAGAACATATACAATTCCCCTGATATTACTGGGATTTTGAGCACACATACAACGAAAAACAAGGGCCTGATTTCAAAAATGCAAATCAGTGCAGCAGGTTATAAGCTGTAAAAGGAAGGGAGCTTTGATATCCACTTCTGGGAATTGTCAAGTTTAATGTGCCCCATAAAGCACAGACTTTTAGCCTTGGACTAAGGGCTCCCAGTTGAGCTGCAGAGCTTTTCTTTTTATCAGCTGTAAAACCATGTTTATTCAAAAGGACCAAATTTCTGCTACATTTAAAAACAGTGAAGGATTCTCCCTGGGTTCCAGTGCAATATTTAGCTGGGAGTAACTTTCTGCTTTTAGCTCCTGGCATCTGTTTTACCTGATTTAGTAAATCAGCATCTTTGTCTCCAGGCTCATCCCCAACTCTCCAATCCAACTGTACTCCTGTTAATTCATTCCCACAACTCTCTTCCTCAGACACTTCCTTCTCACTCTGCCACTCCTCTTCATCACTCTCCTCATATTGCTTCCTGCTGGCTGACAGAGTTGTTGTCACTTTTGGAGGAGGCAGAGTTGCCAGGACAGCTGGGAGTGTGAATGCTGCCAGGAATCTGGCTTTCAGCAGGAGGTAAGCAGGGTTATCACCCAGTTTCTGCTGCACCAGTTCTCCAATAGCATGGAAAACATCCCGAGTGCCTCCATCCTCAGTGGCATCAGAGGGCAGGAGACTTGATGCTTGCTCCTCCAGAGCTGCTTTCTGCAGGAGGAGCTTCGAGAGGGTTTTTATGTTGCTCAGAAAAGGTGGCAAATAAGGCAGCCTGGTTTGCAGTGATGGGACCTGGACACCTCGTTTCCCACTCAGCCACTCCCTCACCAGCCCCTCGTCTTCCAGGGAAATCAGGCTGAGGTCAAGGAGATTCTTCTCTGCACTGGAAGTGCTTGGCTGGGGGGGAGTGTCCTCGGGCTGTGCCGTCGGTGGTTTGGAGGCAATGGGTCTGTTCTTCAAGGCTTGGGCAGCAAAGCAACCCGAGCTCCCTGGGACACTGCCATGAGGAACCAGATCTCCTGGCTGGAGCACGACCCCTTGTGTGATGATTTCTGTGTTTGCTGTAGCAGAGTCAGGGCTCTTTCCCAAGCTGGCAAGGCTGGACACACGTTGGGGATCAGCCCCCTGAGTGTTTGCAGGGGGCTGTGTCTGGGGCAGCACCAGGGCTGCGGTGTCAGGTGGAGGAGCAGTTGGAGCTGCAGGGGAGTCAGAAGCCTTGGAGAAGCCATTGGAACATGCAGGTGTTACAGCAGAAACGCTGGATGAGGTGCATCCAGGACTCACCGAGGTCCCGGGTAAGAGGATCGTGGAATGGTCAGCTGCCTTTCCCAAAGGAACTCCTGCTCCCTGGGAATTTGGTCCTTTTGTCTCTGCACTGCTGGGGTAAGGTGGATTTGCTCCAGCTGCTACAGGAGTGACTCCCAAACCAGAGACACTGCCATTGGAAGTCACAGCTGTCTGACACTGACCTCTCCCAGGAGCATCTGGTGTTCCTTGGGGAACACCCACCACAGTTTGCACAGCGGTGGGGAGCAGAGCTCGTGGGGTTACCACCCATGTGAAGGGCAGGATGCTGTTGGGAATCACAGGAGACCCAGCTTGGGGAGTGACAAGAGCAGGCAAGAGGCTGACTGGCCTGTGTTGTGGCCCGTTACTGTTCAGCTCACAGGGGACTGGTGTGGAAAGGGACAGTTTGTTGGTGCCAGACTCCAGGCCAACAGGCACCACTGTGATCTGGCCTGGCACAAAAGCCTGGTTTTGCAGCACGACTGGGGCTGAGCTACCAGCTATGACCTGACCATTGCACCCTCCCTGATCTGGGGTCTTCTCTGCTGCAGCTGGATTCATGCCTGGAAAACCTCCTCCTTCAGGGCTGCTTTCCAAACCTTGCTCTTTTAGTTCCTTATTGCACTGCAGATCTGTCCCTTGTGAGCAACCAGGGCCTTCCCCCGTTGCTGGCACTGCTGAGGAATGGTTTTCAGGCACAACAGCAGAAGTGGAACCTGCAGCAGAAGCACTTGCTGGTACTGGAGCTGGTGCACCCTGTACTTGGCTATTTGCACAACCAGCTGCTGAAGGTTTGCTCCCTGCTTGTGCAGAAGGAATGATTTGCTGTGGTGGGTGCTGGATTATCAAAGGCCCTGAAACCAGGACCTGTGGGGCCACCAACACCGTCCTCTGCATGGCCTTCTTAGCCTGGGCCTCCCTTAACCTCTTCTCTCTCAGTAATTCTGAGACAGTTTTAGGCTTCTGCCTTTGCCCCTGGGCTGGAGGAGCTGGGGCACTGCTCTCAAAGGCAGCAGCACAAGTTCCTCTTGCTTTTAAGGCAACAGATCTCCTGACAGCACTCCTTGGTATGCCCCGTTGGGAGTTCCTCTGAGCACAAGGCTGGGATGAATTGCCTACAGAGGAGAGGAAATAAAATTAAAATGAACAAACAGTATTTTCAAAAGCCATTCCCAAGCTATGAAAAAGAAGTACCCTGCACAGGAAGTGGCAAAATTCCTGTTTGTGAGAATTCCTACAGCATTATAGTCCTGATTTAATCAAGGCATGTCCTGGCATCCTTCAGATAACCGTGATAACAAGCTGACATCACTGAGCAAGGCATTGCTCAGTGCCACTGGTCCCCCAGCCCTCCAGTGTTTCTTCTGGTCCTTACCAAAGAGGAACATGTTTAGCCAATAACAGAGATCCAAGAGTTAGCAAAAATGAGCATGACAGTGCAGTTTTGTTCCAAAAGTTCTCCTTTCGGTTAAACTGGTCGTTAATGTAACGGTGATTAAATAAGTGAAAGTTCTTGCACATCATAAAAATAAATGTTCTGGTAGGTACCTGAAGAAGCCTCCATGTTTTGGGAAGCCTGTCAAAAAAAAATACATTAAATTATACTTCTGAGATACCTCATTAAACCAGCACAGATGTGAATCAAACCCACATCTGCCAAGATTATTATGCCTCTGAACCAAAACGAACTGGTAACACATGCACAAACAGCACTACTGGCCAAACAATTAAAAAATGTTTATTTAAGACTTCAGTGGGAAAAGCTTAGAAACAAACCCTGCCCAGTACCTGCTGAGGCCTTCTTGCATCAGCCTTGAGCAGCTCTAACTCCCTCAGCTTCCTCTCACGAATAATCTTCATACAGCCCTTGGTGTCAATCTGAAAGAGCTGCAGGGGGAGAACTTCATTAACATTTGACTGAGAACAAAAATGTTCTGTGGGGTCAGTGACTAGACAAGATGGATGGGACATGCTTCACATGCAAGATTCTGGGGACTTTTTATACACTTACAGGAAAAGCCCTGGCAGGATTAGATTTTAGATGTAGGATTTAAGAAATATCATATGCAAGGCACAAGGCCAGATTAATCCAGTAATTAGATTATTTAAGAAACAAAGATAAATCATGTACTTAAGCCTCAAATACAGAAAAATAAAGATTACCACTGTTTGAAAGCAAATAATGCTATTAAGACAGTAATACCTACCTGAATGAACAGTGTGAACAGGGGAGTGCTTGTGAGACTGATTGACTTGACCTTCTCTTGAATAGCATCAGCTAGGAAAGAATCCAACATCAAAATCAGCTGGGAATTCACTTACAAGATGTCAGAAAGTAGAGACAGAAAGCAGGATGGGTCAGAAGTACCTTTTGTCTGATGAAAAGCCATCTTCCCAGTCTGCAAGGTGCAGGGCAGCAGCACATTGCCCACCCAAGGGGTCACTGCCATGAGCAGCTTCCTGTCCAGGCTGAGCCTCTTCCAACGCTCCCTCTCCTGGCGATAAGTTTTGTGTGTCACGTTCTGCAGCCCCTGGAGATTCTGGCCAACAGCTGCACTACCTCCAGCTGTTTTTGCTAAAAGGCCAACAGGAGGTTTTAGCATCTTGAATTGCTGTGCATGAAAAAATACACAATTAGAGTTCCAACAGTTTGTCCCAGGACAAAACTATTCACGAGGCAGTTACGACAAAAAATGATGACCTTTTTCTCCTGGGACTACAGTGCAAGAAGATATGTCATTATATATTAAAAAAAAATCCCCACTAAATACAGCCTGGAAGTGCTGATGTCACAAGAAAAGACAAGACAGAAGAGGCACTTACAAATTTCCTCTGAAAGAATGTGTTATTCCTTAATATTCTTCTCACATCCTCCAGGGTAACCCGCAGCACTTGTTTTCCACACTGGGAAGCCTTAACATGAAAGCACACAAGGAAAGATAAAAGGGAGGGCAATTCACAGAGAATTACTTGCACTGAATATGCACAGCAGGTACAAGAGTTTTCAACATTCCTGCTGTTGAAAGTATCGTATTAAATGAAATCAGCCCTGAAGAGCAGATCTTTACCTTGTTTTTCAGTCCTTATGCATCTTCACAACACCAAATGGTTGTTTCATAAAAGATTTGTGTGAATTATCTACCAAAACTCACACTGAGGGGTAGAATTTACTGGGTGGTTCTCTCTGCATTTTTTGACTTAACAGTACAAGGGAAGGAACAGCAAGATGTTTGGAGAAGTCACTGATTTTTCCCTAAACATCTACTAGTAAAATAATGCTGTATCTGTAACCCAACAAACTTGTCTGCCCACAGTCCAGGGCACACATTCAAATTCTGAACACAAAACTCAGAATAATTTTGCTTGTGTGAACTTAAACAGTGATTTAGACATTACATATTTTGCTAAGGAATATCCTGCTGCAAAAATGTGCTTAGGAGGGTTTTTACTGCTTCAGCATCCGATCTGGGGTGAAAACCCAGCTCAGAATCAGATAGAGGTGTGCAAGTGACTTAATTCTTCCAAAGACACCACAACTCACTGGACAATTCTGCTTTATGAAGATCTGAACAGTTTTGTTTGTGTGACAGTACACACAGGGAAGAACACAGCTATTTTCTGGGTAATGCACGGGGAGGCAGCGCTGGAAATTTCCGTTTAATCCCACGGCTGAGTTTCCAACAGCTCCCTCCGACGGCACAGTGAGAAGGCAGCCAAGAGAGGTGAGAAAAAGATTTTGTCATCTGCTCATCACATCCCTTCCTTACTGCAGCTGCTGCACCTCTCAGTCGTGCCTCAGCTCCCATCCCAGCAAGCACAGCCTGGGAATCCCAGCTCACCTTGGCCATTACTTCTGCTGGATTCCTCACCACGATATCTGTGGAGTGGGGCCGTGCGATGCCCCTCAGCAGAGTGTTCAGCTCAGATGATTTATCAGCAGCTCTGTCTGTGTCTCCATCACACACTGCCCTTGGAATGTCACTGCCACTGGTCCCTGCATCAGCACTCCCAAGAGAGAAGAGGGCTGAGGTCTGGGATCTTCCTTTGTTTGCCTCCTGCGTGTCTGGCTGTGTTGGTATCCATAAATCAATGCTGGGGAGTGCACACTCCTCCTTGCTGGTCCTGCTTGTCATCTCCTCCTCCTCCTCCTCCTCCTCTGAGCTGTCTGCCAAGTCCAGCTCTATGTCCTCACTGCTGCTCTCTGAAGAGGTGGAACTCTCCTCAATGTGCTGCCGTTTTGCTGCCCTGGATCTTTTCTTCTCGGCCAAAAAAAACACAGACAAGTTTTAGCCAGTGTTCACCCTTGGCTTGCAACTCTCTCAAATCAGAAAGTTAAAAGTTTCATAGGGCAGAATCCTACCACTGGCTTTCACATGGATAGTTCTGCTTTGCTTCTGCTAAGATGGACTACACCCAGTGCATGGATTTTGGTTTAGATTCTTGTATGCAAATAAGCTACAAATACAAGTTTCTGTGAAGAACTGGTGCATGTGGAAGTACAAACTAAGTACAGAGCCCCATTCTGACACATTTAGGTGGCCACAGACCCCTCCCTAGGGCAGGTGCTTTGTCAGTGGAAACAAGACCATCTTCAACACGGTGTTAAGCAGCCAGAATTTCTGTAATGCTTGTTACCAAAACTGGCAACTCATGAGGTACACACATTAAACCCTAGGTATATCCCATCCTTACAGCCATGTCAAGGGAGTAAAGAATTCTGGATAACAAACAAATATACAGCAAATTAACTTGAGACCTTCAGAACAAAGGCTGCTTTAACACATCAAAAAATTAAACCGTGAACATCCAAGACAAAAATCTCGATTGTGCAAAAATCAATGTCAATTTTTGCACTGATTTTAAGGATTCTACTTTTAGTTTAAAGAATTTTAACTGAAGAGATGGGACTGTGCCACAGCAGGATTTTCACAGTACCTTAGACCCAATCATGAGTTTCCACTTGCTCAGGCACTGGGAGCCAGTCCGATGTGGCAACTCAGAAGCTATTTTACTCCAGTGACCTAAAAAGGATGCAGAGGTTGTAAAACATGACCACTGCTGCCACACACTGAGCACAAAGGCTTTTCAGTGCAGAACATTATACATACACTATTCATTTCCTTCTATAAGAGTTACTGCATGAATGGATCTCAAATCTTTAATACCCACAACACACAATACAAGGAAGGCTGCAATCAGCAGTACAAAGCAGAGCCTGTACCTTTAATGATGCTTAGTTCTCTAAACTTGTATAGAGCAAGTCACAGAAACACCTACCCAGGCCATGCTTTTCAACCAGTTCAATCAGCTGCTCCTCTTCCTCTAAGCTCCACTTGCCTTTCTTTACATCCCAGTGCAATGCTTTTAAGTATCTTCCAAATAAAAAAAAATCACAGTAAGGAACATTCAATCCTGCTTGTACAGCTCAAATCATCACTGCATACTCCTGAACAAAACCAGAGCCTTCCTTTTTCCAAGGGGTCCCATCCCTACTCCCTTATGACTATTTAGATCATAACCACTCCACAAAACAGCCCTTAAGGGAACACTGGTTTAAGCAAATCAAACACTTGTAAAATAAGTTGCATCAGGGGTAATAAACCTGAAGCACTCTTGGGACATTTACACTCACCTGTCTCTGCACTGAGCGTCGCTCCTCCCCGGCACCTCTGTCCTGATTTTATACCAGTCCTTCTCTCCATACTTCTTCACTGCAGCCAACAGCATCTGTGTTCATCAGACAAAGAGTTGAAATTCTCACCAGTAACATCCCAACAGGCCTGAGACAGAAGCAGTTGTATTGGTGTTGTAAATCTCTCAAGTGTTTAGGAGTTTCTAAGCCCTCTGTAAACTGCCCGCCTTGGCCCGTTTTACACTCCTCTGTGCCACTGCTACAGCTCAGCTCTACACAGCCTTGCACCACCTCAACACTCTTCACATTCCCACCCTGCAATTCCAGGCACCAGAGAACAGAGCTTACAGCATCTTCCTCTGGTGTCCAGGGTCCTTTCTTCAAGCTGGGGTCCACGCTCTTTGTCCAGCGGTAGATCAGCTGAGCAGAATCTCTTCCTTCCATGTAATAAGCAACTAGAAACACAAAGGTCTGTTTTGAAATCTGTTGTAAACAATGTTTTTCTTTTCCTTACATTCTAATGGTGAGATTTCCAAGCAGTCTTTGCCATAAGCAGCATTTTAATCTCTTAAACTATGGCACACAAGCACGGAAGGAGTACAGCATACACAAAATGTCACTGTTTATAATGGCATTATCTGCATTACACCCATGATGACCCAACAATCCATCCTGCAGCTACAGAAAGCTAGGAAAAATTTCAGCTCTCACATGTCTGACAGGTTGAAGACACCAGCTGTTAAGACTCAGGTGAATGGAAGACTTTGTCACTTGTAGGTCACTTACTTTTCTTGTATGGGATATGGCTTCCCACTCTCATCTCCTGAACCAGCTCTAAAAGCATCTGATCTTCACTCTTAGTCCATTCCTTCCTTTTCAAATCTTTATTATAGATTTGATACTTCTGCAAGCACTGGAAAGGTGTCCTGTTTGTCTTAATATAAACAGATACACAGAGAACTGGTTATTTATGAGGACTAAAAGCAAAAGGGAAAGGCTGAAGTACCAGATGTTTTTGGCACTGTTCTTGGACATTTCTCAGAAAAGCATTAATTAACAGTGGATTAGCATCAACATTGTTTTCTGAAACCTGACATGAGGCACAGTTAAGTGAGAATTAAGTGATTTGTCACCTCAGACCTTACCCCCAGCTCCTGGGCTATGGTCTGCCAGTCCAGGTAGTTGTGTTTAGCAGCGATCCGCTTCAGCCTCTCTATTTCCTCCTCAGTCCACTCCTTTTTGTTGATGCTTGGATGCTCCCAATTTTCCCAGAACTTCTTCAGTTCTTCTGCACTACGTTGCCCATCAAACTAAAAGAAACAACAAAAATCTGTTTCATCTTAAAGCTGGGACTGAAACAGCAGGACAGACAGGAACACCAATATTTAGCATTCCAGATATCTTATTGCCAGGTTTTAAACCATCAAATTTAACAATCTGAGATCAAATCAGCAGTCAACTTGGAGAAATGCACGATGGAAACAGTGGATGCAAACCAAGCCAGGAGATTGTCAAGAGAAGGGACGCAGATATCAGAAGCCATAAGACAGTTGATCCCCCAACTTACATGGATGTTTGAGATTTTCTCCCAGTCGTGCTCATCGAATCTGTTTCCTAACAAGTCACTTTCTGGCAGTTGGCTACAGCAGAAGGTACAAAAAACAAGAAAGAACCGTGTTAAATGGTTAATTAAACACTTTGTCTTCTTGATCCTGCTTCATTTTTTTCCTCCCACCTGTTCCTGACTTCCACAAGAACTGAACACTTGGTTTAGCAGGAGAAACAATTAATGTAATATCCAAATATGTTGCTCTAGACACGTTCACGAGCAAAAGCTCAAAGGTATTAAACATTTCAGAACTCTCTGCTCCTTTGTTGTTAAACCAAGAGCTATCTAAAGCAGCACCTCTACAATGGATATAGATACTACATTTTGTGTATCAAGGCCCAAAACAAAATTTTTGGTAAAGAACTGTGGGGATGAAGGAGCTGCTCAACAGCACTTCATTTTTTACAAGTCAACACAAAAATAAGCATTTCTCCAAACATCACCTCTAGAAGTAGAAGAAGAGAACTATAAAAGCTAAATTCCAAGAAGAGACATTTATTTTTCACCAAGAACATAAAAAGACTTACTTAATTGCTTCTATTTCTCGCTCCACTTCTTTGATTTGCTTTTCCAAGGTCTGTTTCTCCGTTTCAGTCTTGACCTTCTCCAGTTTCTGATTCCAATAACTCATCCTGTTCAAAGACATTTTTATCATTACTTAATAGGACTAGATGGGAATGAGGTCAATGGTATAAGAAGACATTCAGCAGAGACAGTTTCTCCATCAGTATCGTTCCTTCCTTCAGTTTATTTCCACACAAAACTGCTATTCTCCCAGGTCTTCCCACATGGCACACTCATTGTCCTATTTTTACCCCTTCAATACAGTCACTGACCCAGAACATGTCTCAGATTAACCATTTTAGTATTTACAGGGGGAACCAATGGTTGTTACAACAGCTAGAAAGACTGTACCAGCTCCAGCACAGAAATCTCCCTCTGGACACACCATTATGACTCACTACATGTCACAATTCCAGCTTCAAGCCCTGCAGACTATTTTAAATTATATCGCTGTGTCAATGGGAAGAAATGGATGGCTGTAAAATCACACAAACAGTTAACACAGGAACTTGCTGAAGCAGGTGGAATCTCCACATCTACCTTCTCCTTCTTTCACATGTCACATTCTCAGGAGAAAAGAGGGGTTTTGTCAGTACTCACTTCAGGAGCTTTGGCTGGAGCAGGCGTTGCAAGCGGTCGCTCACCACTGATTTCTGCAACAGTGTCTTCTCCCTGCTCTTCCCTGAACCAAACAGTGGAGCAGTCAGACATCAGTGCAGAACCACTGCCAAGGGAGACCCACTGCTTCCAAGACCCCTGGAAACATCCCCCAGGTCTGCAATAGGAGTTCCCTGCCTACATCACTGATGCCACATCTGACTTGGGCAAATTGCAGCCCCTCACTCAGTTTTATCTCCAACAAAACCTCAGTCAAGATCATCATCAAGGTGTCCGTGACCACCTAGAGCTGGAGGTGCCCCTTGAACTTCTCTCTGCCCTTGCACCATGGTTTTGGAGTGCTCACAGGAGCTGATGCATCAAAACAAATGCAAATAAGTCACTAATCACTCAATAAAACAATTTACAGAGCATCCCATTCTAACTACGTTTTTTGTGGAGTCAAGTTTGCAACATCACAAATGTTGATGTTGAACTGCAAATGGCACACACAGACTAACAATATGAATATATACATTTGTTATAGCTCTTCTAAAACACTGAGCAGCCCACAGAGTTACTTACACTTTGCTGAATGCAGTTGTTCAAAGGATTTTATGCCCTGAGCTGCCTTTTCCTTGGCATCTTCATTGGAAGGAGGGCCCTGGTGAGGATTAGAAGGGTTAGATACACTGGAAGAGTCAGACATGCAGGAAAGTTATTCTTTCTCCCTAGAACTCGAGCATGAACTGCTACAAAAACAGTTACAATGCAAATCTATCACTGAAGACACAGCTACAGTTACTTACAATTCCTGTGGTTTTATCCTTAAAGTAAGGCTTCATAAAGTGACCCAAAAATACATTTGCTGGTAGACTTCTGCCATCTCCTGCCTTGGCTGTTTTTGAACCATCGAGCTCACCCATGATTTCCTTCTGCAAGACAAGAGTTAATTAAACAGTGTCAGTGTCTCCCTCAATCTCCTGATTTCAGAGAGCAGTGGCTGAGCCACCACAAACATCCCAGGCAGGGTTCAAGTTTGCAGCACCAGACTGTGAATCAGTGAATGTTAAAAGGCAGGATTTGGAACTTCCTGACTGTATAGTGCAATGCAGGTGATTCAAACATTAATAAAATACTAATTTGCCACAGCAAGCTAAAGTGTAAGATGTAAAATCTTACTAATCAACCCATTTTTGGTTGTAAGAAAGCATGGAAACTTCAGTCAAATAAAACACTTGAAAAGCCACTCAGTGACACTGGTTTGAACTGCCAGGAAGAAAATGCACCTGGTTCCTGGCCAAGCCAGCTGAGCACTGCACCAGCACATGGATATGGGACTGTGACTGCTCCAGCTGATTCCTCTGGCACCGGTGATGCACTAGGAATATCCTGGGAAGTCTTACTAGGCTTGAAGGGAGGGGAAGATGGCAAATGGCAACCCAGAAAAGCACAGAAATGAACATTTCCGTCCTGTGCTGCTCACCTGCTGCTCTCTGTTTTGTGCAATGAGCAGCTCCACTTCCTCAATCTTTTCCTGGATAACCTCCTGGTACACATGGTTCATCTGCAGGCACGTTTCTGGATCCTGTGGCAGGCTCTCAATATCATCATCACTGCTGTCTTCTTCTCTTTCCATTTCCTTGAGGCATTTAAGGGGAAAAGGGAAAGAAACACTTGCTTTAAAGGCAGCTCTGCAACATAATTAATTTTCTAATTTGACATCTGTTTGACCCACAGCCTGTGGTGTTTCCAGGGACAGGGATCAGCAGCACCAGAGCAGTGAGGCCTCTGCCCCCTGTCACTTGTGGTCACATGAAGAAATATGTGTATTACACCGAATAACAAAGTCCTGGGCAGGAATACCCAAACTCCAGGGCTGGTATTAACCCTTCCTGAGCACAGAGCCAAGGCAGCTGCCTGGATTTCCCAATTTTCCCTTCAACAGACAGATCGAAAGGTACATTTAAAGAGAAAATATTTACCATTTCACCATGAGAATCTTCATTATCATCATCATCATCATCTTCATCATCATCTGTTGGACAACAAAAATACAAAAGTGCTGATTATAGTGGGATAAAAGGAAAGCTTCAAACCCAAAACTTTTCAATTAAGGCAGCCAGAATAAAGCATCACAGAGAACCCAGACATGGCAATTAGTGGCTTTGGATACTGACAACATTGTCAAGTAAAGTTGTATTTAGTTACACTCCACATCTGCATTTTTTTCATTCTAGAGTAGGAAAAAAGAGCAGCTCTGGATAACTAAGGTAGGATAACTAAAGCAATAATCCAGCTACATCCTGGTCCTGCACACGGCAGCAAATGAGAGGCCAAAGGGTGAGTAGCCAAGTGAACATTCTAAACCAACAGAAACACAAACTCTGAGAGCACCAACAGGCCCTCAGCAACACCTGGGTTTGCACCCAGTGGTACCGACTCCTGACAGAAGTTATTCAGACTTGCACCACCAAAACAGAGATGGGTGAAGCCACTACGGACAGAGATGCTCGAGCTGTTACCACCTCCTATTTGCTTTGGAAAACGAACTTTAGGCGGCGCGGGCGGGCTGTGGGATGGAGCGGCTCACACAGGGTTTGTGATGCCCCTTCAGATGCTGTGGTTTCACTCCGGGAAGTACTTTTGGGCTGTTTAGTGTCGTGAGCCCGCCCGTCCCCAGTGACCAGAACCGACCAGACCCCTCCGTCAGGGAGCTCTCGGCCGGCTCCGGGGGTTTCACCACGAGAACACGCCCCACGCCGGTGCGGCAGCTCCGGGGCCACCCCTCCGAGCCCCCCCGAGCCCGTACCGCTACCGGAGCTGAGGCTGCAGTCGGACACGGCCAGCCCGACGCCGACCCCGCCGGGCTCCAGGCTGCGCTCCAGCTCCTCGATCTCGCGGCGGATCCTCTCCCGCTCGGCGTCCAGGTCGAGCCCCGGGGGGCTCCGAGGGGTCCGCGAGGGCCCGGCCGGGCCCGGCCCGCCGGACATGGCGGGGCCGCCGCTCCGCGCTGGGGCTGCGCCTGGCCCCGCCCCCCCCGCGCCCCTGACCAATCGCCGCGGGCTCCCGGGTCAGCTGGTCTCCCACGTGACGCCGCGCAGCCAATCGGAACGGGGCTCGGCGCACGTGGGGCGGCCCCAGGCCCTGCAGGGACCGAGACCCACCGGGGGTTTGGTGGGATCGGGATTGGGATCGGGATCTGACCCACAGCCCCTTCGCCTGCCGCGGCACGAGGAGCCCCAGCTGAACGCTGAGGTGCTCGCGGAGGAGGGGCAGTGCTCCCAGCCCCGCGGGAACAGGGATGTGCTCCTGTCCCTTCGGGATTTAGCGATCCATCGGCTGCGCGGTGCGGAGGGATAGGGACGCCAGTTCTGCAGCTCCGTGCATCGATATGAGGCCGAGTATCAAAAATTCGCTTTTTAGTAATGGTTACTAAATGAAAGCAAAGTCCTCCGTGGTGTCTGAGTCACTCACTGTCCATCCTCTGACACCTCGGAAATTCTGTCGATGGATTTCAGGAGATCAGCGACGAGCTGCAGGGATTCTGCTCCGGAGAGGAGCTGCCTGGAATGGGAGAGACACAATGTTACATGGGGGGGACCAGAGGGTTCATGGGCAGTTTTGGGGGGTTTGCCCACCATGTGACCTATCTAGCAGCAGGTTGTCAAGACTGGAACCTTCACTTCTTAAAGTGAAGTATAAGAGACTTAGAGACTCCCACGTCCCAGTCATTTTACCTACACTTTATTTCCAGTTATTTTTATTTTACCTGCACTTGGAGGAAAACACACTGAAGGGGAATAAGAACATGGAGTAGCTCATCTGGCACACAAAACACAAAAACCTGAGATTCAGTGCTAAAAAAACCCACTGAGGAGGTTTATTTGTGAGCCCAGGATTTAGCCCAGAGCCTGGGATGGCCTCAGGAGAGGTGTCTCACCTGATGGATGCTCGGGAGCTGGTTGTGACCCTGAGCAGGTGCTGCAGGGCCAGCTCTGCATTCTGCTTTGCTGCTGCCAGCCCTGCCTGTCCCAGCTGCAGGGCCTCGTTCTCTGCCTTGTAATTCCTCAGCTGGACCTGGGGGGAAACAGGCAAAAACTAGATAAATAGCCACAAAACTCCAGTAGATACCTTACAACTAATGAACGTGTTCATGCAGCAATTTATGTTTATGTCATGTAATAAAATCACTCACACAAAGGTAGTGAAGAGAATAAAAGGATGCAATAAATAGCAACTAGATCCCAACACCAGACTGCCAGAAGGGAATGCCTTCCCAGAATCATTAGGGTTGAAACAGGCCTCTGGAGATCATCCAGTCCAAACCCCTGCCAAGGCAGGGTGACCCAGAGCAGGTGACACAGGAATGCATCTGGAACATCTCCAGAGAGGGGAAATCCATGACTTCCCTGGACAGCTGTTCCAGTGCTCTGCCACCTTCCATGGAAAGAAGTTCTTCTTCATGCTGAGGTGGAACTTGTTGTGTTTTAATTTATGGCCATTGCTCCTCATCCTGTCACTGGGCATCACTGAAAAGTGTGGCACCATCCAGGTCTTCCCAGCCTCTGGCAGGGCACCACAACTGAACCTGAGAACACCCTCAGTATTTTCCCAATGGCCTGCAAAAATCCTGCAATATCCTCTTTAGAGGCTCAATTCCAAGACATATCCCTGCAGCCCCAGTTCCTCAGCCAGGCCCCAGGAATGCTGCTCCATACCTGGAGCAGGGTGTTCTCCTGTCTCAGCTTGGCAGCGCTGTTCTCAGCTTTAACAGCCCGTTTCTGAAACACAACAAAGATTATTTACACCACAGAGGATACAGCAGCAGCTTGGGCTACACAGGAATGAGTGATTCCAGCACAGAACTTGGAGGGATATGGTTTGTGTTTGCCCATCCCGTGTTCTGAATGCTTTAGGAGGTGGAAACAGCTCCTTCCTCCCCTCCTCATTTCTCCTTTCTGGGATCTGCAGGTGCCACCCAGCTCTTCTGGACATTATTCATTCTTTTTTCTTGGACAAGAGAAAAAGACACTCAGTATAAATAAGCAAAGGGAAAAAAAAGTTCATAATTCACGCAGGATGTGTTGTCAGAAGGCTGCAAAAAGGCAACTTCAGTTGATGAATCCAGAAATTATATTACAGCAAAGACCTGCCTTACTCTAGGGAAAGAAAGGAGTTCTGGTCTGGGATGCTGTTTTGTTCCAAGGGAGAAGTTTGAACCCATCAGAGCTGTTTGGGTGAAGCAATCACTTCAGCTTCCCTCCCTCTCCTGGGAAAGGAGGAAAAGGGATGGA